CCTTTGAGCTGTGGTGCTGGAGACGAGTATTGAGAATACCATGGACTGCTAGGAAAACAAACAGATTTGTCCTGGAAAGTGTTAAATCGGGTGGCTCCTTGGAGGCAAGGATTCTGAGGCTTAGTCTAACATACTTTGGACATGTTGTGAGGAGAGACTGGTCCTTGGAGAGGGACATCATGGTTGAGAGGGTGGGGGGACAGCGCAGGAGAGGAAGGCCCTCTATGAGGTGGATTGATTCAGTGCCTGGGATAATTGGGATGGGAGTGTGAGAGACAGTGCGATTGGCGCAAGACAGAGTGGAGTTTAGGGCTGTTGTACATAGAGATGCTATGAGTCGCGACTCGACAGCACTTAACAACAACAACAACAACAACATTGTTATACTTTTCTCCCTGCCCACCCTTCCTCTCAGTTTGCTCTTCTCTTTGAAAAGTAAAAGAACAATTATTTCATTGTTATACAATCCCTTCTTCCAAGGCCACAACTAAGAGATACTATTTCAACCAGTAAGAATAGCAAAATTTAACAGAACAGGAAACAATACATTTTTGGGTTTTAAGTATAATTTAAATTGTGTATTAAAAGTGCAGTTAAAAACCTAAACTTGTCAACTCTTTAGAAGATTTGACTATTAAAGTAAAATTATTAAATTACATTTTACTTTCCTACTTTCTAGCATTTGGAAACAGACAAGTCACGATTTCTGCTATCAATTTTCTGGTATGTAAGATAATTAATAATTTTTATTCTTGATTTTATTTAAGTATTATTAAGACTCAAAACAGATTTTCCGTAAAGATTTACTGAGATTACAATAGTTTTAGACTATAAATGTAACCTAGTATTATCTGTGTTTTCATCATAAATATAATGTTATATCAAAACCAAAACCACTGTCATTGAGTTGGTTCATATGACATTCTCTTTCATTGAGTTTGAATTAACATGTAACTGACATTTAACTGACAGTGAGCATCCAAATTTGATATAGCACAGGAGGAATTTACACAGAAGGAGTTTTCCTGCTCACCTTCTAATGGTTTGAACTGCCAGAGGAGAGTGACCTTTGGCTTAGCAATACAAATTCCTATGGCTATAATGTACTATTGTTGTTGTTAAGTGACATTGCGGACACTATGACCTATAGTGTCCCTATGAACAATGGTTCTGAACCTTGCCCTGTCTTAAGTCACCCTCACAATCTCTGATTCACGTGAACTTATAGCCACAAGCACTGTGTCAATCCATCTAATCCAAGGTCTTCCTCTCCTGAGCTGATCCTCTACACTTCCAAGCATTATGTCCTTCTCCAAAGACTAGTTCCTTTTGGAAACATGCCCAAAATATTTGGCAAGGAGCTTAAAAATTCTTGCCTCCAGTGAACAAGTTGGTTTCAATCTCTCCAGAATAGACCTCTTTGTTATCGTGACAGTCCATGGTACTCTTCAATACCATAACTGAAAGGCATCAATTATTCTTCTACCATCCTTAGTCATTGTTCAGCTCTCAATACATAACAGGTAATTGTGAGAATCATGGCCTAAATCAGACACACCTTAGTCTCTAGACTGACATCATTGTTCTTTAAGACTTTGGAGAGGTCCCTGACAGTAGATTTCCCTAATATAGTTTGCCTTGATTTCCTGACTGTTGATTGTGGAACCAAGCAAGATGAAATTGTTAATAATCACAATCTCTTCTCCCTCTATCATGGATGGTGCTGCCAGTTGGCCCAGTGGTGAGAACCTTCGTTTTATTGTTATTGAGCTTCAATCCATATTGTATGCTACAGTCTTTGACCCTCTTCGGTAAATACTTCAGGCCTTTCTCAATCTCAACAAACGAGATTGTGCCATCGGCATGACACATGTTATTGATGATCTTCCTCCAACCCTGATGCCAAATTCTTCTCATACAGTCCAAGCTCTCAAATGATCTGTTCCACATATGCATTGAAAAGGTATGGAGACAGGACTCATCTCTGATACTATCCCTTCCTGATTTTGAACTATGCAATGTTACCTTGCTCTGTTCTAATGACTGCCTACTAGTCTAAGTTTCGCACGAGCATAATCAGGTATTCTGGGATTCCAATTCTGCTCAAGGTTAGCCACAATTTGTTGTAATCCACACTGTGAAATGCCTTTGCATATTCAATTAAAGACAGACAGATATTCTCTGCTTTCAGCCAATGTCCATATGGCCTCTAAAATAATATCCCTGACACAGTAGAATTTCATGAAATGGCATATGCCTACAAGATATTGGTGATGAAAGAGAAAGTTCAAGCTACTCTGAAGGTACTAGCCAAAAACAATGCCCCAGGAACTGATGGAATATCAATTGATGTATTTCAACAAACAGATGCATCCCTGGACTGTGCTGACCAGGCTGTGCCAAGAAATATGAAGGACAATCAACTGGTCAACTAACTGGAAACATCATGTTTATTTCCATTTTTAAAAAAAGGTGATCTAATAGATTAAAAAAAATTATCAAATGATATCACAAACACCACATACAAACAAAATCCTGCTGAAGATCATCCAAAAACTATTGGAATAATACACTGATAGAGTACTACCAGAAATACAATTTGCTCTTAGAAGAGGTCACAAATGATTAATGAGAGAAAAGCAATATTCCAAAGTCATACATATCTATTATCAAGAGTCTACTCAGGTTTTGTGGCCTGGTGGTAAGGATTTTCATTGCCATTCTAAAGGCACATAAGTTGAACTCACCACTGTTCCATGAGAAAAAGATGAGCAATTTCTTCCTATGTGATTTAGAGTCTCTGAAAACCTGCTGGAGGTCAGCTGTGAGTCACTTCTAAGTCAATGGCACACAACAACGACCAGTACTTGTTGTGTAGTAGCATCTTTACCCCCTACTTCTCTGAATACTTCTCATAGAAATTATAATTTTTTTAAAAAAAGTATTACATTTTAACACTTATTTTAGTATATTAATTACAAGGTATTAAATAATGAATAATACATTTATTCATGTTGAACACTTAAAATTTTTTTGCCTTTATATGGACTCATTAATTATAATTTTACTTTTATCTTAAATATTTTGAAACATTTTATATAAATAATAACACAAATAGAAATCATCTTTCATAGCTTTGGTTTACTCCCTTAATTTATCACTTAAAAACCATTTTAATAAAATTATCCAAAAATAATGTAATAGTACTTTATTAATGCAATCATAATAGTCTATGATTATTATTTCTTTGTGCAAAAATTGATTAACCATGACTATTATGGTTGAATTAAAAGAAGCAACTACAATTACCATGTTATTGTTGTTGTTAGATGCTATCAAATGGATAAAGACTCACAATAACACTGTCAATAACATTCTCACATCTGTCATCTTCCTGCGCATTGTGGTATTAACTCTGTTAATCTATCTCATTGAGTGTTTTCCTCTCTTTTTCAGGTTCTCTACCTTTACCAGCATGATGTCTCTTTATAAAGACTAGTTTCTCCTTATGTTGTTATTGTGTTGTTGTGTGCCGTCGAGTCACTTGCGACTCATAGCGACCCTATGTACAACAGCCCTAAACTCCACTCTGTCCTGTGCCAATCGCACTGTCTCTGACACTCCCATTCCAATTATCCCAGTCACTGAATCAATCCACCTCATAGAGGGCCTTCCTCTCCTGTGCTGTCCCTCCATCCTCCCAAGCATGATGTCCCTCTCCAGGGACTGGTCCCTCCTTATAATACGCCCAAAATAAGTGAGATGAAGTTTAAAAAATAAGTAAGGAAGATCAAAGAACAATAAATACTTTTAAATTGTGGAGCTGGTAAACAATGCGGTATAACCCATGGACTTTTAAAAGAACAAATAAATCTGTCTTAAAATAATTGCAACCAGAGTTTTACTTAGGTACTAGTTTGACTAAACAATGACCATAGCAGTGGTAATTGAACTCCTAATTGTAATGGGGGGGAAAGAAAACAAAAAGACCAAATACCCTAAAATCTAACCAAAGAAAGAGAAAATCATAATGCTTAATTTTGCACATTCTTAATCTACACATAAATCAAGAAGCAGTTAACTGAACAGACTGATCAAAGACTGAATAATATCATGAAAGGTGTGTGTAAGGTTGTGTTTTTTCCCCATGCTCATTGAATCTATATGCTGAGCAAACCATTCCAGAAACTGGACTATATAAACAATAATGTGGCATTATGTTGGAGAAAGACACATTAACTGCTTTCTTTTTGCAGATGACACAACTTTACTTGCAGAAAAGAAAGTGTACTTGAGGACCTTACTAAGGAATATCAAAACTACAGCATACTACATCAAAATCATCCTTACCACTGGACCAATAAGCAATATAATGACAGATGGAGAACAGATTGAAAATGTAATGCTTTAATTTTACTCAGATTCAAAATCTAGTTTTTGTTAAGGGCCTTCACAGTAAGTTTGACTCATAACAAACCTATGAACAACAGATGTGAACCCTGTCTTACTCTGTGCCATCCTCACAAACTCTGGCACACTCAAGCTCAATGCTGCAGTCACTTTGTCAATATACCTGTTTGATGGTCTTCCTCTTTCACCTTCCCTCTGCTTTTCCAAACATTATGTCTCTCTCCAATGTATAACCTCTTCTAGCAATGTGCTCAAAGTATAAGAGGCAAAGATATAACATCTTTACCTCCAAGGAGAACTCTGATTGCACTTTCTGGCTGTACAATGTATGCTACATAGTTTAAAATTAGAAAAAGAGTGTGTCGGGGATGTATTCTTTCCCTATGCCTATTTAATCAGTATGCTAAACAAATTATTTGAGAAGCTACTTGAGAGCTATTCAAGAATGTAACATCAGGTTTGGGGGAAGATTCATCAATAATCTTCCTTATTAAGATGATACAATCTAACTTTTTGACTGTGAGAAGGATTGAAGCACTTGGTGCAGAAATTTAAACACTACAGCCTTCAATATGGATTGCATCTCACAGTCAAGAAAACAAAATCTTTATCACTGGACCAACAGGCAACATTATGATAGATAGATAGATAGATAGATAGATAGATAGATAGATAGATAGAGAGATACAGAGATAGATAGATGATAGATAGATAGATAATAGATAGATAGATAGATAGATAGATAGATAGATAGATAGATAGATAAAAGATTGAAATTTTCAAAGACTTCATCTTAATTGAATTAACAGTGATGGCGCCAGGGATATCATTAACTATGTAAGATGGATCCTGGCTGAAAGTGAGGAATGCCAGAAGAATGTCTATTTGTGTTTTATAAACAATGTAAAGACATTTAACTGTGTGCATAATGGTAAGTTGTGGCTGACATTGAAGAAGAATTAATGATTTTTAGTTGATGTGTTGCAATCTTTTTTCCATTTTGACAATAAATAAATATGATAGAAAGTAATTTGTGTCTTTGAACTGAGGAATTGGAGAAGAGTTCTGAATATCCCATGAATTGTTAAAATAACAGATATGTCTTGGAGAAGGTGCAGCAATGTGTTCATTGGAGACAAAGAAGATAAAGTTTTGTTTCACATATTTTGGACATATTGCTGGGTGAGGCTATTTCTTTGAGAGGGACAACATACCTGGAAATGTAGAGTGACAGAAAAGTAAAGGAAAACCCTCAACAGGGGATTCAAACAGTGATTACAGAAATGGGGTTTGAGTGTGTCAGAGATTTTGAG